TTGGGGTTACATTGTTGTTCCTCCCTTCTGTTCCTCCCTTCTGTTCCTCCCTTCTGTTCCTCCCTTCTGTTCCTCCCTTCTGTTCCTCCTCTCCCCTCTTCGGTGACTCGCCATCTCCCACGGGTCAGACAGTAACAGCACTCTTGCTTAGGGAGATTCTGCTTCCCACTTAATGGAATTCTCTAAATAGATAATACCTCCCAGAAAGACCTCTTTTCTCCCATAAATATGACTTTTTCTAACAGAAATACCTGTAATCTCCCCCAAAATGATTTTTTTTTCTCCAGAAATACCTGCCTTTCCCCCAAATTTCCCCCCCAGATATGACTTCTTCTCCTAGAAGTACCTGTTTTTCCCGTAAATACGACATTTTCTCCCAGATATACCTCTTTTCTCCAAAAAATATGACTATTTCTCCCAGAAATTCCTGCTCTTCCCCAGAAATATGACTTTTTCTCCCAGAAATACCTTTATTTCCCCCATAATATGGCTGCTTCTCCCAGAAATACCCGTTTTTCCCCATAAATAAGACATTTTTCCAGTAATGCTACTGCAGTTCTTTAGGGCTCTGCGTAAGGCTCTGCCGGGCGACGTTATGGCGTTGCTATGGCGTTGCTACGCTCCGACTTCCTGTTTCCGCTCACCGCCGTCACGTGACCCGAGCTCGTTGCTACGGCGTTGCTACGTTCCGACTTCCTGTTTCCGCTCCCCTCCGTCACGTGACGAGGCCACCTCCCCGCTCCCCTTTTCCTTCTCCCAACCTCCCACTTCCGGCGACGTCACTTCCGCTCTCATCTCTCCCAACATGGCGGCATCCGCCATCCGATCTCGGCGCTTCAAGTGGGCCCTGGAGCTCGGAGCGGCGCCGGGCGGCCGGTGAGAGGCCGGGGGGCGGAAGCGGGCCGGATCGGGGCGGGATGCAGGTCCGGTGTCAGCCCGCGTTTGTCCCTTTCAGCCCCCGCGGAGCCCCCGAGAGCCGCGGCCCGGTCGGTTTCTCGGAGCGGCAGATGGGGGAGGGCGGCGTTCACGAGAGCGACCGCATCCTGGTGGAGAAGGTTCGGCTTCCATCGTTTGCCCTCCTTCTGTTGTCTCTTCTTCTTCTTTCTCACCGTCCCGCCTCGTTTCCTCGCAGCGCTGCTGGGACGTGGCGCTGGGCCCGCTGAAGCAGATCCCGATGAACCTGTTCATTATGTACATGGCCGGAAACACCATCTCCATCTTCCCCGCCATGATGGTCGGCATGATGGGGTGGCGCCCCCTGCAGGCGCTGCTCTCCTTGTCCTCCAGTGAGTCCTCCAAGCTCCCGGCATGCCCCGCTGCCCTCCCAGTACAACCCAGTACATCCCAGTGCCCTCCCAGTACAACCCAGTACCCCCATAGCCCCTCCCAGTACAGCCCAGTACATCCCAGTGCACCCATAGCCCTTCCCAGTTCATCCCAGTGCCCTTTCAGTACGTCCCAGTGCCGTTCCACCAGTGTCCTCCCAGTGCAGCCCAATACGTCCCAGTGCCCCCACAGCCCCTCCCAGTACACCCCAGTGTTTTCCCAGTGTAGCCCAGTATGTCCCAGTGCCCTCCCACTCCCTCCCAGTGCTCCGTAGCCCTTCCAGTCCCCCATGCTCCCCCCAATGCCCCCATAGCTCCTCCCAGTCCCCCCCAGTGCCCCCATTAACCCTTTCCTCCCCAGCCCTGAAGCTCCTCGAGTCCTCCAGCGCCCGCCTGCTGCAGTTCCTGGTTTTCCTGCTGGGCAACGGGCTGGGCCTGGCTTTGGCCCTATATAAATGCCAGGCTATGGGGCTGCTGCCCACCCACGCCTCTGATTGGCTGGCCTTCATCACCCCCC